GTTCATTCTAATGGATTTTAGAGAGGGGGGATACTTACTTATTGAACGCCCCTCGTATTTTACACTCAATATATAGTATTCAAAGCATGCATTATGACTTTCATCTTGATGAGATCCCGTTCTTCTTTTGGTATAATGAATGAAGTTACAAGATGACGTCAGATTTATAAAATTACCCGAGGTGAGGACAAACTCAGGGGAATCGTGAATCGTTCCTTTCCCTGAAGGGAGGGGGGATGCTTGGACGAAAGTCACCTGACAATTTTCAGAAAATAACCCTCCTCTAAAGATATTCTGTTTAAAAAGGTAACGAAAGAGCATACGAAAGTGTAGCCCGAAAATATGAATACAATAGAAAAAAAAGTAAAAAATGGGTAATCAAGTTGAAAACATCAAAACGCCAAAAAAATCAGAAGGTTCCGTGCCGTTTAAGGCTCAGTTTCAGCTGCAAAAACTAATCAAATAGTGAGTGATGACCTGAACTGACCCCAGTCGTTATCACGGAACCACTCATATTCCATTAATTTTTGCAGCTGGAAATGAGCCTGAAACGGCTCATCATATCACTCTGCCTCTTGAGTGTTGTGATATTTTTAGCCTTGTTTACCTATGTTTAATTTTTTGTATTTTATTTAAAAAGGCGTATAAAAGAGAATGGAGATGTTGCATGTGTGAGGAATTTGCGATTTGACTATTGATTCTTGTGTGAAAGTTCGCGAGAAACACGATGGTGCCACTGGTTTTCTCTGAAATCAACTCCCAAGCTCAAAAAAAGCTCTCAAGTGGAGGCTAAAATGGAGGGGATATCCCACCCTACCCTGAGAGTCCACCTCTACATCAGAACAAACTCTCCATGCAAAGATAGGGAGCAAATACATAGGCAGGGTTGCCGTGTTTTCAGTTTTGGAGTCCCCAAATAAAGTGGCAACCCTGTCAATGTATTTGCTCCCTATCTTTGCATGGAGAGTTTGTTTTGATGTAGAGGTGGACTCTCAGGGTAGAGTGGGATATCCCCTCCATTTTGGCCTCCAATTGAGAGCTTTTTTTGAGCTTGGGAGATAATTTCAGAGAAAACCAGTGGCACCATCGTGTTTCTCGCGAACTTTTACAGAAGAATCAATGGTCAAATCGCAAATCCCCTACACATGCAACATCTCCATTATGGGGGAAACCGCCCATATCCAGCAATTTTCACTTCAAAGTGGAGCCTGTCAAAGTCTTGAATATTCAAATTATCAATTTTACCGAGTACATGCATTTGGATTTATTTCTGCCAAACGGACCGTAGATAGGTGGGAAATAATGGGTGTGCTCGTTAGTTCCCAAGTCGTAGGAATGAATGGGAAATATAAAGCGGCAGTGACCTCAGCGGTGCCGATTCAGACGATGCCAAATCATTAATTCATGAGCCCCGTCCACAACGCTCTCCCATCCCCCGCTTTTCCATTTCCCCAAAGGTAATCACGTCCCCTTTTCCAATGTTTCTTGTGTAGCTCACCGCGAGCACACCCCATCTTTCTGACAAGTCTCCAGTTTCGCACAGTGGATCGAGTCAATTGGAGAGGTCGGACATCAAATTTTTGACCAAACCTGATAATTATGAGTTTATTCCGTCACATTTTACATTTTAAGGGGTGCTTCCAGAAGAAAATTTCTCGAGGAAACCAATGGAACCTTTTCAGAACCTCAAAGTTTTGTATCAACAGAATTATAAGCGTTTAAAGTTTCCAAATTTTGTCCGACCTCCCCCATTGACTCGGTCAATTGGGGGCCGGCGCGCGGCTGGCGTGCTCGGCACGAGACGCATAGTAGCGCCTTATAAGACCACAGGATACTTCATGCATTGCGCGTACAGCACGGTGCGCGCAACGCATAGTATAGCGCCTTACAAGTCTGCAGGATACTTCATGCATTGCGCGTATACCACGGTGCCACCAATGGAACCTCTTTAGAACCTCAAAATTTGGTATAAGTGGAGCTATTAGCTCTTAAAGCTTCCAAATTATGTCCGACCTTTCTTAATGACACGATCCACAGTGTTCCGTTCAGCAGAAATACGCACGGAGAAAAAAAACTCGTGCGTGGGACCCGAAGTTTAGGTCATATGGATCTCTGAAGTTTTCAGATTGAGCATCTAAACACTTTAGGTCTAGCTGCCGAGGTTCGGATCACACATCTGAAACTTCAGTTCTTACATCTGAAGTACTTCGGTTCTCACATCCGAAGTACTTCGGTTCTCACATCTGAAGTACTTCAGATGTAAGAACTGAAGTTTCAGATGTATGATCCGAACCTCGGCAGCTAGACCTAAAGTGTTCAGATGCGCAATCTGAAAACTTTAGAGATCCATATGACCTAAACTTCGGGTCCCACGCACGAGTTTTTTTTCTCCGTGCGTCCATTTGGAGCTTGAAACGATAGACTTACGAGTTTGAAGAGGTCTCCGAGCTCGTTTTGCCGATGCCTGAGCTTGTCCAAGTAGCGACAACTCGCCGAATAAGTGTAGTTGAGGTCGAATATGCAGGCGTCGTGCTCCTTGTAGAAGCAGCTGGTGGCGCCCGAGGCAAGGAACTCGTCGTTGACGACGGCCAGCGGCAGCCGCGTCGGGTCGTGCCCGCACGCGAAGTTGAACGTCCCGACCTGCACGATCGGGAGCATCACAATGAACAGAGTCAACCTGAAACCCCAAACCAAAAATTACTATTACATACATACAGATAAAGCCGCTTTTAAAGCGCTCTCTGGCGCTCTGCGACACCTAGCCGCCAAAGTCCCCTATCCTCCCGAAGGCCTACAAGGAGTTAATACTATTAATTGATTTAAAACTGGATTCTCTGTAGGCTGAGTTACTTTTTTTACTCTCCGTTTAAGTCTCCGAGTAGTATCACAAAACACAGCGTCAACCTGAGACCCCACACTGAATAAAAATTCTCGGCGTTTTTACCAAGCTCCGTTGGTACCTTTACCATCTCACTTTTTTTTTACCAATTATTGGTAATTTCACCAAGACAGACTGGTAAGCTTACCTAAAAACCGGTATGTTTACTGTTTTTTTCAGGTAAGAATACCACTTTTATTGGTAATCAATTCCCGGTAACTTTGCCGTTTTATCTTGGTAATTCTACCACAGTCTATAAAAAATATTGGCGTTTTTACCAAGGTCCAGTAAAATTACCGAGAAAGTTTAATAATTTTACCGAGATTTCTCGGTAAAATTACCAATTCCATAAATGGTAATTTTACCAAGAAAAAACTGGGATCAAATACAACCCTGAATTCTTGGTAATTTTACCCTTTTCTTAGTAAATACACTGAGATTTTTTTTTCAGTGTAGCCGCCGAAGTTCTCTATACCCTCCCGAAGGCCTACAAGGAGTTAATATTATTAATTGATTTAAAACTGGATTCTCTGTAGGTTGAGTTACTTTTTTTACTCTCCGTTTAAGTCTTCGAGTAGTATCACAATACACAGCGTCAACCTGAGACCCCAACCCAGAAATATAATAATTTATTTAAAAATTGACTCTCTGTAGATTGAAATTCTTTTCTTACTCTGCGTTTAAGTTTCCGAGAGGTATCACACTACACAGCATCAACTTGAGACTCCACCCAAACAACAACAATACAACAACACAATACAACAACAATACAATAATTTATTTACAAATGCACTCCCTGTACTGTCGTGAGAAGGAAGAACGTCGTATGAGCCTTCAGATGCTGCCATATTTCCTTCAATCATAACCTAATTTACTAGGAAATCGTTAATATTTTTATTCAATTTTTTCAGAAAATTTTATTCTCGATTTAATCTAAAATGCCTGAAAATTTTAAGGAAAAATACGAAAAATTTTCTCTAAAAATACAGCTTTAATACGTACGTATAGGTCGCAGGCATTTCTTTCTAACATGATAAGTATACTGAATTATTCCTTCTAAAATTCAGAATTTAAAGAATTAAAATTCTAAACATGAGAATTTCAATCTAAATGAGAATATTTCACTATTCCTCTATAGAAATTTGATAAAATGCCTGAATTGACTCTTTGCCTGTGACATATGGGAGATTAAAGTGATATCGCTTTGATTTTAAATTAGAAGCACAGAAAAACATCGTATTTGAGATGCTAAAACTCGTCTTAAGAACTTTATTTTTACTGTCTGGGACACTCCTTCCCAGCATATTTTTCAGATTCTGTAGTGGTGAAAAATGCAAGCAACATTTTGAACATTTCGATTGCTGGTCGCATCGCCGGTGGTATCTTTCAACTTGAAGGCGATCTTACAGCCGTGAATCCGTGACACCATTTCTTTGTATACCGGATCATCCCCCCTGAGAAAATTTTTCTCTTCGGAAAGGAAACTATTCTCTCCGAAGAAAGAACTATTCTCTCCTAAGAGAAAACTAATCTCTCCTGGGAAAAAATTATTCTCTCCCAAGAGAAAACTCTTCCCTCTCGAGAGAAAACTAATCTCACCGGAGAGATTATTTTTCTTCTCGGAGAGAAAAATTGATTTAAGATTTTAAAAATGCATTTTTAGCAAATAAATAACTGAGATGTGTTCTTGAACATCACGGTTTTTATGGTAGAAAATTTATAGTAAAATCTGCCTCTAGCAACACGTGCGTTTGCTATGCAGATGTTGGTTTAATTTCGGTGTATTCACGAGAATTGGATTACGCTTTGAAATAAGGAACCACTGCATTGGGAAACCAATGACATGTACGTTGTTTCTAAAATGGGCCAGAAATATTGGTTCCTTATCGCAAAATGTAATCCAATCAACTAAACGTTACATTTACTTACGCGAGATTCCTTCGCAAGAGACACAGGTTCTTCATAAATTGGGCCTTAAAACTAGTTGAGAAGAAACCCTCCTTTGTTTTCAGAGGTTCTTGTAGCCGATATGGCTCTACGTCTGTTTGAGATCTGGCAAGCTCACTCTGAAAAGAAATATGGAGGTAATTAGGGAAAAAAGGAAAAAGAAAATAGCCTCAAATAAAAATTTTGACGGTCCACGATAAAAGGACCTAACTAGAAAAAAAAAAATAAAAAAAAAAATAAATAAAAGCTATTGACAACACTGCTTAGGAGCGTCATTAGCCAGCGTTTTGACGCCAGAGACGTCTAATTAAGTCAAACAAAATTGAGGCTATGGCGCTTTAAAGCCAGCAGTTCAAAGAACGTAATTTTGGGAAACAGATTTTTGAAGTTTCAATCAACCATGTTAAAAAGCTGAAAATTGTTGGATTGAAACGCAATCCGACACAACATAAATGCGTGCGTTTTCGTTAAAATGCAACTCTTTCCTTTTTTCGGTGCGAAAATGAACAATTACACATTATAATTATTCTCAGAATACTCACAGAGTGTTTCCCATAAAAAGAACCTGAGTATGGTCTCCGGATTCAACTTTAGAGAATCGCTCTTTTCAAAAAAATTACCCCGCTTGATCAATCAAAACTATAAAAGCATGAACTAAACAGAACTTCAGAATACTATATTAGCGTGACATTTACTTCTAAAAATAAAAATGTAAGACCCTGCATTTTTCCTTTATGCCTGAAAAAAAAAATCTATGAGATTCCTCACAGCAGCACCAAGGTTAGATTTTGTCTGTATAAAATTCGTCGCTCCCCGGATTTCATTACCCATTTGGTAGTTTTCCAAACGAACGAGCGTAATTCCATTATAAGGTTCCAACATTAAAAAAATTCAAGTTTTTAAAATAATCGTCCCTGGGAAAATTTTGTTGAGAATGCTGATTTTTGTATGAAATCAGGGCATTTTCGGTTAAAATTCTCGTTGTTTGGATAAGAAGTTAAAGATGATAACTTACTGGGTTTGAAGTCGTATCGTGAATATGGCACAATTTCAAGAATACATCTTCTAAATAATTACAATTATGTACAGCTAGCAATTCTGCGGGAGGAGCTTCTGCAAGAATCGTTCCTTTTCGCATCATGCCAATCTGAAACCAAAATTTTACGTTAAGAAAAGGAAATGAACATTCATCCAGAGATTGACAAGTTTTAAATAGTTTAAATGAAAAAAGAAAGTGTGAAAGTATGAATAGTATTGAAATTGTTTTTATTTTATTTGGAGATATAACAATAAGAAAATGGATTGGTAAGTTGGTTTTTTTTTTTTTTTTTTTTTTTTTTTTTTTTTTTTTTTTTGCACCCAATGATTTCCGTAGAGTAAAGGCTATTGCATCAATTTTTAAGAATTGATAATGTCCATCCTCAAGCCATTCTTCATATAAAATTTTAATAAGTTTCGCAGCTTTATGTATACTTAATAATTCAGCCATCAGATCGCTGTCCACTTTTTCTAAAACAGAGCGGTCCCATTTAAAAATGCGATTAGAATGATAACTCACCATATTTGCCTGTCTGGCCTCCTCTATGTAATGTGTTGTGATGATAATGGTTTTACCAAAACTTGCCATTTCCATCAGTTTCTCCCAGATACTGAGGCAAAAAAATAACACACATTAAAATCGATTATAATATAAATAATTTTTTTACACTCTCCATAAATTAGAACATGCCCATGATATCCGATTATCGAGTTGCAAAATGCGTGATACAAATATTCCGCCTCTTAAGTAGCTTAAATTTCATACCTGCCGAGTTGAAGGAGTTTTGAGTTGCGGTCTGCGCGCTATTTTCAACTAGGTTTTTCTCTTACAAAGTTAAAGTTTCCCCCTTATCTCACCTCCTCGCTTCTTTTTCTCTCTCTGCATCTCATTTCCACCTCTTCCCTCTTCTCTTCTCTCGCCCCTCCTCTCATTTCAATTCTCTTTCACTTTGTTGAAAACAAGCTAAGAAATTCTGGCGTCTTAAGATGCCTTCTCGGTCTAAGAATAAATGATAGGTGTTCTGCAGTTTCACCGTCTTAATATTTCTGTAATTTTCTCAAAGTCGAATTGAAATCTCTCATGAGAAAAAATGTACCCTTTTAATATCAAGAGCGGCGGTAGCCACCCCCGGTCGAGGAAAATGATCCTACTAAATTTCATCTATTACTTACATACCCTCAGATTTATTAAGTTCTCTCGGGTTTCTGTCTGCACTAATTTGAAAATGAAAGAAAAATGAGAATGAAATCGAAAATACCTTTGGCTGAGCAATGGATCTAATCCAACCGTTGGTTCATCTAAGATCAGCAGTTTTGGATCGTGAAACAAGGCAACAGCAAATGATATCCGTCTCTGCTGACCGCCACTACGAAGAGAAACCAATAACATTGTAGACAAATATTGTGAAAAAAAACTTATTGTTCGCCCTATTAAAAGTCAGTTGGTAACACAAATGATTGAAAACTGCAGCAAAATCAAACAGTAAAGTCGTCAAGTAAACTGTAAATATGATTATTTGCCATTCCAACAATGTAAACTTGAATGCATATTGAGATATGCATATCATCTGGATACAGCTATGGAAATAATGTGATCATCATCGTCTTCGAGTGAAAAACCAAAATTACTGTCTGTACAAACGAAGGAGGCTTCATATCCTTAATGAAGCAAAAAAACGTCAAGTTTTTTTGTATTCTATCAGAGAAGACCTGATTCCTAATCCAATCCGTCGAAGATTTAAAGTATTAAATCACATCAATTGTATGATTTTCGACTCAAATATTTTTCCGTATGGATAACTGTGAATCATTGTTGGAAAAAACAAAATAGTATGGAAAATGAATAATGGAGTAGCAGATGCCGTTTTCTTTTTTCTTTTTTTCGTTCAAAATATGTATGCCCTATTCGCAGTGTTGCGAGTGCAGATCCTCGCTGCTAAGTGATAAAATTATGAATATTTTATTCCATGAAGATCTTTTCCTGGTTATTCCAATGTACAATTATTCATTGATTCCTTTTTTCCTAAGCTCTGCTATTTTCCTCCTACAAAGGGTACTACTATGGATCTTTCATTCTTTGTTCCATACGGAGTATCATATTGTTTAAAAAGAGTATCTCAAGGAATTTCGTTTATTTTCCACGGTGGTAGTAGGCATATATTCTTCGTGGGTTTTCTTGTCCTCGAAGAGGTACAAGGAGAGAGGTAATGGAGATGTTGCATGTGTGAGGAATTTGCGATTTGACTGTTAATTCTTATGTAAACGTTCGCGAGAAACACGATGGAGCCACTGGTTTTCTCTGAAATCAACTCCCAAGCTCAAAAAAGCTCTCAAGTTGAGGCCAAAATGGAGGGGATATCCCTCGCTATCCTGAGAGTCCACCTCTGCATCAAGACAAACTCTCCATGCAAAGATAGGGAGCAAATACATTGACAGGGCTGCCACTTTATTAGGGGACTCCAAAACTGAAAACACGGCAACCCTGCTAATGTGTGTGCTTCCTATCTTTGCATGCAGGGCCGGATTAAGGGGGTGCCTTGGGGGCGGCAAAATATGGGGGGCGGCATATTTTGCAATCATTTTGAATGTAGGTATCAAAAAAAGAGAGAGAAAAATCGGATTCAGCAAAATAAAATAGAAACGAGAAAAAACGACAAAATCTCTCATTTCCTCAGAGTCAAAGTATAGTAATTTCTAATTTTGTCGTCTCTCGGTGATACAAGAGACAACACCTTTAATTAGTCGAGTTAAGAGAGAAACCGAACACGCAATTTGACCTGGAACGGAGCCCGCGCGGCGAGGCGGTCAGCATGAAACGCATAGCGCTTACAAGACTGCATGAATACTTCACGCATTGCGTCAAACACACTGCGGTCAGCAGCAGTCGGCTGGAAACGCATAGCGCCTGCAAGACTGCATGAATACCTCACGCATTGCGCCAAACAGTGTGGTCAGCAGCGGTCGGCGTGAAACGCATAGCGCCTACAAGACTGCATGAATACTTCACGCATTGCGCCAACACAGTGCGGTCGGCGCGGCGGTGGAATTAAAAATTTTTGAGCAAATTTATGTTTGTTCTTTCATAATTTTTTCGTTCGTTTTTTATAAATGGAAGACCTTCTCCAAACAGGGATGGGTTTATGGAACTGAGCTTTTGTTAGTGTTGACAGGGCTTTTACAAAAAATGTACCCAACACGAGTGAACGCGTCTCATACACCCCTTCCCCACCGGCACGTTCACTTGATGGTTTTTATAGATCGTAATCGACGGATCACACGGGTGAGATTACATTGATATCGATTGGTTCAATATGTAACCGCAGCCTCAAAAGTCAATTTAGAAATCTGAGGTGACGGGTCTTATGTGATTGAATTTTTATTCTCTGGCAATGAAAAGTGCAATTGTTAGAAATTTTCTCATCTTCAGCTTTTCCAAATTAAATCCTAAGATTTTTGTTTGCGGTTATGATCTATTTTTTTGAACCAAACGATACATCGAACCACTGTCGAATACGATCTATTGATGTTTCAAAACAAATGAGAAGGGGACGGAAAAATACGGGCAGCCCATGGGCGGCAAGTAGGTAAATCCGGCCCTGTTTGCATGTAAAGAGTTCGTTTTGATGTAGAGGTGGACTCTCAGGATAGCGTGGGATATCCCCTCCATTTTGACCTCAACTTGAGAGCTTTTTTTGAGCTTGGGAGTTGATTTCAGAAAAAATCAGTGGCACCATCGTGTTTCTCGCGAACTTTTACATAAGAATCAACAGTCAAATTGCAAATTCCTCACACATGCAACATCTCCATTACAGGAGTACAGGGAGGACCAATTTAAGAGTTTAAACTAGTTTATGAATAACATGTATGACAAATAAATACGAACCTGAGCGCCGACACAACTTTCTCATCATTTGGTAATTCAAGGAACTGTAGTAACTCTCGACTTCTCTGTACAATTTTTGTCTCTGACATTGAGAACATGCATCCATAAAACCTGAATATTTCTCGAATTGATAATTCTCTGTGAAGCGCTAAGTCCTGAAAGCAAAGACTTCATATTAGCATAACATTTTTGAGCAGCTCAGCAGAGTTTCAAGAGGGTATTCGAAATTTAAACTATTGCACCTGCACCCACATGTTACAACATATCGTGTTCTTCGTGGGAAAATGTAACTTCATATCAATATTGCTTTCTCCTCGAAAAACGAAAGCGTCAACCAGGAGAACCTTGGTTATTTCTAACTAAGCATTTCAATGATTTTTTTTTGACCTCCTGCAAACATTTTTTTCTTTGGTTGCACATGTGCAATCTTGTAAAAAATACATATATTCATGAATTGTTGGAGAGAACACACATAAAACGCCTTCAGAGAGTCAAGTACTCGTACTCGTACGTATTGAGCTGAGATCAGCACGCACAACACATTCGCAACAACAATTGCTGCAGACGCAGCTGAAGGCGTATCGAAAACAACCGTGTAATAACACGTTGAAGAACATAATAGCTCATTAGTTGATATTGTTACTTATGGGGAGTTGTATTTTATGGTTTTCTTAGGGGGAATTCTTAACTCTTTTTTTTTTTNTTTTTTTTTTTTTTTTTTTTTTTTTTTTTTTTTTTTTTTTTTTTTTTTTGCTTCAAGACCACTGTGTCGAAGGATCAATTTTGTAGATATTTTGATTTTTTTTGCGCCAAATTATGCATAAATAACCGTTCAAATTTTTGCATCTCGTTTTTCCCCGCTTTGAGGCACTTCGTCCCAATTCATCACTAAATACCGATTACACTGTGCTTTCATTAGCAGTAGATACGATGCGAGAATGATCTCTCCATTATCGGGAAGGTAGGAATGTGAATGAGGAAAACTAATCCAGTTTTTCCCATTTTTCTTATATTTGTCAATATTTCATCGATTGTGTCACTATCAATTTTTTGTGTGTGCTATGATCATATCTTTGAATAATATACTTCTTTTGATTACCGTGTTTCAGAGAATGGTCACGATCAGTCAGCATTCTTGAAGAATAAAAAAAAAAGATTTAATGGCACAACAAGCAACAAACGATGATGCCATTTACCACAGCGCGATCATTGGTCAATCTACTGTCCGTCAATAACTGCCCGACTGTCGAATAATAATTGCCAAAATTTACGAATGGAGAGCAATAAAAAGCTATAAAATATAATTATCATAATGGGCATAATAGTAAAAGAGTTGCACAGTATTAGACAGTAACTGAATATCACTATTAGAATTAAATAGCTGCGGAAACATTTGGGCGGGATCTTTTTGACGGGGAATATTCTTGTTAACGAGGCAGACAATGAATTTCTTAAAAAGTTTCCGAAAGTCCTCAAAGCGTAATACATTTTTGATTAAGCGTTGTTTTGACTTCAAGATATTGCTTTCGAATAGTACCAAGACTTTGTCATTCATTAGATAGCGTAAATGAGGAGTGTCATGTTATTCATGGTGCGTTAATTTGGTACTTAATTGGCTGCGGAAAATTTTGCGTCTGAGGAGGTATGTTCAAACCGTTACACGTGTATTTTGCAAGCAACAATAAAACACAATTTTGACACATCCATCAGGACAGTGCCATTTTTTTCTTCGTTATGATTTCACACTTAAATCTTGAAAAACCCCCCTCCTCGTTTTGATTTGAATTTCGCTGCCACTGGGTATGCAATTTGTTCGTGATTTTTTCTCCCATCGAGGCATGGAGGTGTGTACACTCTATTACGTCGCAAAGAATTTTGAGAAAAAATAAGAGGTAAAAATAACCTGTTGAAGTTTACACAAATGACTAACAGACGGAAGTTAGATGTTGAAAATGACACGCCTTCGTTTTTATATTTTAAGCAAAATGAACCCTCCCAAAATAACTGAAAAAAAAAATTAATTTTTACCCCAGGTAATTATTAATTATTTACATTTAGATTGGTAAGATTTATATTTCATCAAAATTCAAGGAATGAGTAAAACTACAGATTATAAATTTTCACTGACGGCATATTTTATCGTTATGACACAATTGGCTCTTCGTTTGAAATTCAAAGAGGAGGGAAAAAATGAGAAAAGGCCTGAAAAACCTCAACTTTTTATGCAAACAACAATGCACATGATGAAAAGAGTCATGAGCACACAAGGACGGATCTTTTGCTGCTTCCTCATGAATAATAATTGAATGGAAATCGGCACCAATAAAAAAAAAAAAAAACGGTCCCCACAAAAGAACTTTAACTGAATTTGTTTTGACTGACCTACAATTGAGATGTATACCATGTTTTTGGATCATGCCAAGTGTAGATACACTTCTGCATAAAGTTATGTACGTTGCAATTGTTTGCTTATTTCTTTTCAATCGTATTTCTGAAACTATATTGATAGTTCTCCCTCCCTCTTTGTTGCAATTGAAGCTTATAAACAAACGAGATCCTGTTAGTGGAGTATTTCTTCTCAATACGTAGAGAAAGATAAGCACAATGAATCATTCGGAAAATATCAATGTTGATAATTCAATGTGAAGAGACGAATGATAACAATTGTTGAGTCAACCCACTAATTTTAATCGTGAGCTTCCCTCTTTCCTGTATAAGCACGTTTTCAAACGTTTTATGGTGTGTACGGCGTATGTACACATAATTTTGAAAAATAGAAACATTCAATGAATAGGCAATTTCTCTTGCCTATTTTCCGAAATCATACTAAACTTATGACCAAATTTTCAAGAATTTACCTTTTCCTCGCCTTAATTGTGCAATAAAAAAATTCATATAAAGGAGCAGATATCCGGAGGTAGGTTAGAGCAGAGGGGTTGTCACTAACTTTTCTCAATTTTAAGATTAAGCAAGAAATCTGCCCGGCAGTCTCAATGCTTTCTGCAGTTCGAAATACTTGAGGTCTGGCATCTTACGTTTGGAGTTAGATGTTCTTACCGAGTTGTCTTATACATACAGAGCCCTTCAAAGCATTTAGCATGTGAATAATTCAATTTTTCAGAAGATGTTGGTTGCGACTCTTTTGCCCTAAACTATTGAATAATTTAGATATCTCGCAGGAAAACATGAATAATATTTCTGAATGCTGTACCTGTGGCATGTAACCTAGTTCTGAGGTCGTCTTGGCTTTGGTGAATATACTCCCCGAGTCTAATCGCACTCTTCCAACTATGCAGTTGAGCAGGGTTGTTTTGCCGCATCCGCTAGGCCCTAGAAGACCATATCTGCAAATCAGAATCAAATTCCATATTTTTAATGCGTGCGCACGGTACCTATTTTTAAAAATAGAAAATAGGTAAACAAAGAAAATACGGAAGAGGTTTGAAAACCCAACATCTACAGAGAGCTTACCGTCGAGTACAAGCCTGCCGTGCTAAGGAAAAACACCGTATGGTCCCTCAGGTGTCGCCAAATTTCCTCTCATAAAATGCGAATTTCCTGGTAAATTCATGAATATTTTCCTCCCAATTTTTCAGATAATTCAGTTCAAAATTTCACCTAAAGATTCTGAAAATTTGGAGGAAAAATATTCATCAATTTCCTAAAAAAATAAACATTTTATCGAAGGAAATTTGGCTACTCTAGAATGGTCATACGACGTTCTTCCTTAGCATGGAAGAAGTAGAATGTCGTGTCATCATTTAGATGTTGACAAATCGCCCCGGATAAAGTTATGTATTTTCTGAGAAATTTAAGAATGTTAGTTTTTGAGATGTACGGATGAACTCATCTAAGTAAGAAGTAAAATTCACTAAAAATTTCAAAGGAAAATAGTGACTCGTTCCTTAGAAAATTAACTCTTCGTCAGAAGAAATTTAGCAACGTCCCATTATCGAATGTAGATACAGCGTTTTTCCTCTACATGGTAGTTCTGTCTTGCTGCGACAGAACGGCGAATGAACACTGCTAAGTTTTTTCCAAAAAGGTATTAATTTTGAGAAAATTTAAATATGCTTCATAATTTTTAGGTAAGTATATAAGATTGAAATTGTGAATGCTCTGACTTTTTTAAGGGAAAAATTATCAACTCTCCTGGATAATTTACGTTTTATGAATAGAAATATGGCAGCGTGTATTAACTTCTCTGACTTTGCTTTGCTTAACTTTTTTGTTGTGTTTCTATTAGCTTTGGCTTTCCTTTCTCGATATCCTTCAACTTTTTGGGTTGGTTTAATTTTAATGGTAAGTCTTTTTCTCATTTAGTTCTTTTGGGAGCTCCCTTACTTCTAATTTCTTTTATGGTATTGATTGAAACTATCAGAAGACTGATCCGGCCTTGATCTTTAAGACCCTGGTAAAAATTGGCGATAAGAGCTGCGTTTCAAAATACCATAGGAATTCTTATAGCCGGCTAAAGAAGGTTACAGAAAATCATATAGCTGGATGTAGAATGTGGAGAAAATCATACGGCCGGGCTATACAAAGCGATAAAAAATTATGCAGCCGGGATATAGTTCCTATCGCCGGGCTTTACACTTTATCGCCTGGCTGTTGCTTTTTCGCCATCGATTATAAAAGCTATAAGAAATTGTGTGGAAATTCGTGTGCTTCGGAAATCAGTAAGTTTGCTACGGAACCACCTCAATATTTACAAAACACGCATTATATTTTCCTTTATTACATATTTTTTTCCATCAATTAAAATGAGAATAATCCATACAGGATGTGCAAAAATTTCAAAATCATGAGTTGAATAACGCTGACTCCGCCAGATTAAATATTAGAGCCTAATACAAAGCGGAGCGGCGACGCACTGGTGCCTACAAACCTAATAGGGATACTTCACGCATTGCGCAACGCGTGAAGTATCCCTGTTAGGTTTGTAGGCGCGTTTCGAGCTGGCTGCCCGCCTGCCACGGCGCTTGAAGCAACTATTTCACACCAGAGGTATTGCACGGTATTATACGAAACTGAAGGTGCTCTAATATATTAGGAATCAAAACATACGGAGCTTTCCTCGCAAAATAAATCAAGATACTACGGCCCAAAAAGAGAGCAGTAGTCCAAAAACTCACTAAGTCCTAGCATCCGTAATTAGTGACGTTTAGCATACACTTTATCGCCTGGCTGTTGCTTAATCGCCATCGGCTATAAAAGGCTATAAAAAATTGTGCAGCCAGCTATAGAAGCTATTGGAAATCTTACAGCCGGCTGTAGGTCTATGGTATTTTGGAACACAGATTCTACTGCCAATTTTTACCAGGGGAATCCGCTTAATAACTAATATAATTTCGGGTCATATATTAATAATCCTTTTGGGAAATTGTGGGTTTTATATATTGTTCATATGGCATTTTTATTCAGTCGGAGGTAGACAGAGTGGTCCTAACTCTCTTACGAAGGGACCATTTTCGACAAAATATTGAATTGATATTCACTTACATTTGATTTTGTGGGACTGTGAGGCTGAGATTCCTTAGAATCTTGGCGTTGGGGCCGTAGCTGAGGCATGCTTTTCGCACCAATACCGCCGGTTCCTCACCGAACGTATTATTGTTCGACGCGAACATCCTTCCCCCTTCCTGCAACAAAAAATTCAAATAAAATGTTTAATCCTCTCTGGAAAAAATTTAAAAAACACGCAGTATTACAAAAGAACAACAAATAAGAGATGATATAACATGACCGTGCTAAGGAAGAACGCCGTATGAACATTCGAGAGTTGCCAAATATCCTTCGATAAATTGTTTATTTTTGAAGAAAGTTATGAATATTTTTTCTTGACACTTCCAGGAACTATAGGTGGAATTGCAAAAAAATTATCAGAAACATTTGAAAGAAAATATTCATAAGTTTACCAGGAAATTTCTCTTTTATCAAAGGAAATTTGGCAACGCCTGAAGGTTCATACGGCGTTTTTCCTTAGCACAGCAGCGTGGAGGAAATTGCAAGAAGAAATCTTGATGATTCCTTTTAGATTGTACTCACGTGATATCTATTTCAGGCTCCAGCTCCTATAATATGCAAAAAAATAAAATTTTCTTCGATTCACTTAAAAGGCCTTTAAATCGATGGTGAATGAAATCTCCGTCCTCATATTTTAGTGCTTTACTTTCTTTTTATGGGATAACTGTTCAAGTTTTTTGGTGATTCTTTCTAGTCCCTTTAAGAATTTCCTCTGAAAATTTTTTCGATAGAGGGCTAGGCTGAAAAAAAAAAAATTGAGTCGAAGCAGAATTCTTTAAACACCACAATCAAAATTCGGACTCGTGTAATTTTTTCGTCAAACTGCTCCGGGTAAACACAGGTGTTGCGGTGTTTCAAAATTTCTGCTCATTCATCTTTTTTAAAGAATGTTACTGAATATTTTTGCGTAGAATCTTCGGAAGATATTCTTGGAAGGGTGAAGAAAAACGACACAAAATGTTGTCAAAAGATCTTGATCTAGAAGAAAATAAAATGTAATTGGAATCCGTATGGTCCCCATACCCAAAACACGTGGTGGTTTCAACTTCAGAAGACTTTAACGCGATTACCTCCATTCCTCTTGTTCTAAACTTCCCTCTAGTTAATTTGTTTAAAGAGATTCAGTAACCCCTAGTTTTTGAGAATTGTTGTTTTTTTAGGCCCTTAGAAAATGATCATAATTCGGAACAATTTTTCAAACATTCTGATCAAAGCTAGGCTGGATTGGAAGGAAAGAGATGTTCCGGCAATGCTACAAATAAATGACTAAATGGAAAATGACATGACTCAACAATCAGCTAAGACAAGAAATAACGGGTTTTCCAGAGGTTCTTCATAAATAGTCTTTTTTTGCCTAGTATGCACGCAGTGTGAAGTGCGTCACGCAAAACCACGTCCTCCTAAAATATTTTATAGAACTAATTAGGCGAGACATTTATTGATCTAATTTAGAACTTTGAGTCCATTCTTTTTTAGCTTACATATCTCTCTGATCATAAAAAAATTACACATTATTTTAGCTGTCATAACTAGCTTGCCAGCAGCCGTGAGTAAACGCAGTTACGTAATTTTGCAGGAGATTCCATTGCCTATCTGCGGAGGAGTTGACATTTTCTGATTAGTGATTGGTTCTGCACTTTATTGAGTGGCTCTGCCTTTTGTGTGAATCCTGCATGGTTTCCCCCAGTGTTCCTTTTCGACACCATTATTTCTGCACTAAATCAAGTCTGTCCCTCACCAGTACTAAACTATTTCATCTACGTTTTTTTTCTTACACTCTCAAATTAAGTAGATAATTTTATTGAAATGTGTCACCGCGTGTTATAGTAAGGCTTAAAATTAAGGAAATTCACGTCTACTTATAAGGCCATAGCAAGGAAAATATGATGACGACATAATCTTGATCGGATATTATTGACAAATACAGCCTTTTCGTCTGAATTTTTCCTTCGCTTTTGAATTTAACATGAATTAGAGTGCAGCAGCCTCAGTACAGTAAAATTGAACGTCGCTCATGGAGTGTGCCCTTTCTTGATGCTCATCTTTATACAGATTAATATTCCAGGACTTCAGATTTTCGATTTTAACGCTGCTTGGGACGGCTGGCATCTTTCGCGACCTTTTGCCGAGCTTAAACGTCTTCGACAGAATATTATACAACGAATCTTCTTTCATCCAAGCGAATGGACACGCGCCTATCGTGTATGCAGAAAAAAAAACCTGAGAACCTTGAAAATGAGAAAGACCACGAATTTATAATTTGAAATGGCCCATGCCTAGACGGTCGTGGAACTGATCGAATGAGAAAGGGCATCGTTTGTCAGTTTTAGAGCCATACCGTCGTGCTAAGGTAAAACGCCATATGAGACTTCATACGTTGCCAAATTTTCGTTGAAAAATCACGAATTTTCGGTGGAATTCATGAATACTTTTCTTCCGAAATATCAAGTTGGGAATATTTTTTCTTGGAATTTTCACCTGTATAAGAGTAAATCGCAGTAAACATTCTCCCAAAAATCCAAAGAAAGATATCGACGGTTTAAGTCGGTAATCACATAACTCGGTTTGCGACGTCGCAGACTTCCTATCATACTTATTTTTTTAAACGGAATACTACTCAACGGAAATTCTTTAAAACTGCCGTGATTTTTCTTCTCTGCGCGAAGAAAATTCTACAAAAATTTAAGGAATGATGTCAATTTGTTCTCCTTTAAAAAAATAACTTAGAGGCGGAGATTTTCAGACACCGCAAACGAGTTATGTGATTGCCGAATTACACCGTCGATATGCAGTACATGATCGCACGTAGAAATCAAGATACGCCCTCACGTCAGAGGAGCAACATTTCGTTCAGAATTCTTCGATTTCCCATAAAAAATAATGAACAAGTTGGTTTTTGCAATCGCTAGCGATAGCAATATTCGTCATGGGAACTTTTGCTTCTGGGATATGAAAATTTTAAGGTACAGTTCGTTTGTAGTATCTTCAGAATTGAAGGGGCTATGTAATTTTGTCAAGTAATTAACCGTAAATAGTAATAGTGCTTTAATTACTTTAATTACTTGTTTGGTATGGTCATGTCAATAGGATGACGGAAGAGAGGCTGCCAAAAAAAATGCTTGATTGGGTTCCTCCTGGGAGGAGGCGTAGGGGACGCCCAGTGAGAGGTTGGCGACAGGGGGTGTTAAGTGAGATGAGGGAGTGTCAACTCCCTGATAACCTGTGGGAAGACCGAGCTTTGTGGCGATTAGGTGTCGCAAAGCGCCAAAGAGCGCTATAACAGCGACTCGTATGTATGTAATTTTGTGTCGACATCTCTTTTTTAACATTTTTAATTTTTTTTCTTTGCATACAAGAAAGCTGTTATTTACCAATTATTTATTTTCGTTGGATTATGTATGGTTTTTGGAAGTTAATGCATTTAACTTTCAGTTTCGTTTTTTCGGCGTAAAGTATGATATTTTTACTCTACGCATATGCCCGAATACGCATCATAACGACGGTGAAACTACCAAACCACGTATCTCGTTTGCGGTGTTTAAAAATCTCCGCTCACATTTTATTTTTTTGAAGTAGACCAAATCAATATCATTCCTTGAAATTTTCACAGAATTTTCTCCGCACGAAGAGGAAAAATCACGGAAATTTTCAAGACTGGACGTTAAGTAGCTTTTCATTTAAAAAATAAAGTATGACAGGAAGTCTGCGACGTCGCAAACCGAGATACGTGGTTTGGTAGTTTCACCGTCGATAAGTGACCTATGTGCTTCCTAAGTTGCCATTTTTTTCATTCAAATAGATGTAACCGAAATGTTAGATGTGTACTACCTATACTACTTTCATGTCATTGCTTTATTTATTTATTTACTTTTTGCGTAGGTATAAATTGTTATTTTTTGCTGAATTTTGGAGAAAATATTGCTTTAAGAACGTGGAATGTAAATTAATTTTATTGAAAAAAGAAAATACCATCATTAATTTGGGCGAACAGAGAAAATATACATCAATATTTGGGTCAACATCTCCCTGATTATATAAAGGATGAATATATTAGTATTTCTGTATCAAAAAACTTAGCTTTTGTCTTCAGAGATACGATGATTCTAGTCCCAGTCAATTTGTTTTATTGAAAAAACAAAAAAACAAAAAATAAATAATAAAAAAAAAAACAACTGAAATGTTATACATACTATTTTCATGTCTTTCTATTTGTATCAATAGGTACTTTTTGCTTAACTTACGAACGTTGAATGCAAATTAACTTTATTGAAAAAAGAAAATAACGTCATTAATTTGGGGGAACATGTGGCTGATTATATGAAGAAGGTATATTCCAGTATTTTTGTTTAACACATTAACTCACGAGAAAATGTTAAATATCATCTACTATTATTATTTTTTGATGATTAGTCTAAAACATTCAATACAACCATTAAAAAGTAGTTTCCATCGTCGGGTATCGAACTCCCGATCGCCGGGTGCCCGCACCGAATCAAAAATACGAGGCGGTTTAGTCAACTAGGCTGTGACGGATCTTTGTGATCGAGAGTAAAAATAGCATACAAAAGACTCAAGCAATGGGCGGGACTTATCACAAGAGACTGCTTTTGGGATGATATGAAGCGCATTGCTGTATTGCTGTAGGAGCCATGGTTCGCACTGTTTTAATGCGTCTCGAGGTCCATCCCAGCACGCATTCCGATCGCGGCAGTTGAGCTAAGGCAATATTTGCGTATCCATGAATTAAATCAATCAATCGAGCTCTGATTTTGACTTCTTTATCCGTAACGAGTCCTCCAGAACAATTTTCCACCTTGTACGATGGTTATTATTTCTTTACTTCTATTTTTCAAATTTGAGATGGGATAATGGCGGCTTCTCAAGAACACCGAGGTAGGCGATCTTTTGCACCAACGAACAGAAAACTGATGGCGAAAAATAACCAATCAGAACCTCCCAAAAAAAAGAATTTGCCTAAAAACGGAACTTCGTGGTTCTGCGCAGATTTACCAGTCAGACACGACATCTCGAGGTGGAAAAAAACTCGCTGAAAGCGAATTTTAGCAATCAACACAACTTGACGTAGAGACATGATTGGCTAAAAAATACAACGGTT